CTGCATTTAGTGGCTGCCGGTGTCAGGGTGATGCTGCCAAGTTCAAGCTGGCAGGAGGTCAAGGAGCTGAGTTCAAGCCAGCAGGAGGCACACGGAGTGCAGCAGTATGAACAAATCGGGTTCCAGCCTCACAGCCAGAACCCAACCTGAACTTCAGTAGAACAAAATGTTCAGGCTGGCTGGGATTATCCACCACCCCACCATAAAGCTACAGTTGGCTTACTGGCATTAATCAACTCAGATCAGGACTCCGCCCATTTTGTCTACCAGTAACAGCAGAGGCATGCCTTGAAGTGCACATTTTTTTTCTTTCTTGTTTTTGTTTTGTTTTGTTCTGCTCTGTTTTTTCTTGATCATTTGTTCTTGTTTTTATATAGTGGGAGCATTGTCTCTCATTTTGTTCTTGTCGTTCTGTTGTGTTCTTGCTTTTATTTCTTCCTTCTCTATTTCCTGCCTGTCTTCTTCACCAGTTTCCAAAGTTTGCATAATCTTCCTTTGTCCTCTAGCCTTGCATCAAATATCTTCTTCTTTTATTTCTCTATTTTCCCCCTAACCCCCATCAAATTTTCTCCCCTGAGGGTAAAGCTGCCATACTGCAGGCATATTTACTGTATACAATTTTCTAGTTCATTTTAGATTTTGTAACATAACCACAAATCTAGTTCATATGGTTAAAGATGGCAAATTAATAGTTAACACAGTTTGTCATTTTCTAGGCTGTGTTTGATGCTGTTGTTATTGCACTACTTTAGCCAAAGTGACAAAGGCCAAACACTTTCATGTTCTCTAATAAAGCGTGGTGGAAAGACTGGCTGTCCACATGCCAAAGATCAAAATTAGATCCATATCTCTCACCATGCACTAAAATAAAATAAAAATGGATCAAAGGTCTAAATATTAAAACAGAAACACTGACTCTGTTGGAAGGTAGAATAGGTAGAACTCTTAAAGACATTGGTGTAGACAAAGACTTTTTGAACAAAACTCCAATCACACAGGAACTATCACAAAGAATCAACAAGTGGGATCTCATCATAAAGCTTTTGCACAACATGAGAAATCACCAACAGAGTGAAGAGACAACCCACATTGTGGGAAAAAATGTTTGCCAGATGTTCCTCAGACAAAAGACTACTACTTAGAATATATAAAGAATTTGATTAAATCAGGCCTCTCAAATTTAAGCACCCAACCCAAAAATGGCATCTGAGATGAATACACACTTCTCAGATGAAGAAATACAGATAGCAAATAAATATACGAAAAAATGTTTGACATCATTGTCACTCAAGAAATCCAAGTTAAGACAACACTGAAATTCTATCTCATTCCAGAAAGAATGACTATCATCAAGAAATCAACCACTAACAAATGCTGGAGAAGCTGTTGGGGAAAAGGAACTCTACTGCACTGTTTGTAGGAGTATAGACTGGTGCAATCACTGTGGAAATCAGTGTGGAGATTCCCCAAAAACTACAACTAGAGGTTCCATTCCCCTTTTGGTATCTTCCCAAAAGAATTAAAAGTATCATATCACAGTGATATATGCACACCCATGTTTACAGCAGCACAGTTTGTAATAGTTAAATCTTGGAAATAGCCCAAATGCCCATCAACCAATGCATGGATAAAGAAGATGTGATTTTTTTATATATATAGTGGAATACTACTCTGCCATAAAGAAGATAAGCTTGAGACATTTCTAGGTAAATGGATGTACCTTGAGACCATACTCTTAAGCGAAATAAATTGGACACATATCTTCAAATACCACAATCTTTGTTGTGAGAAACCAAAAGTGTAAATAAGGACCAAAATGTATAATAGATATTGGGAAGTGGGAAGAATATGTTCAATTTAAGAGGAGAAAAAGAGATGGGGAAGGGGAAAGGAAGGAAGGGACAAGGAAAAAAGAATAGAAGGGAAAAAATTAAACAAAGCTTTTGTAAATGAGGGGGAAGGGGTTGAGAGAAGGGGAAGGAAAAGGGGGAAAAAAGCGAGATGCATCATGTACCAGATTCCATAGGATGAATGATATCAGGTATATCTAAAGTGTACCAATAAAATTAATTTCTTAAAAAAATTCCTATGATGAATATTATCATTATATATATAATGTACCAATAAAAAGTTTTAAAGGCACTAAATTTAAAAGAATAAATATACGTACTGTAAAGAATACAGAAAAAAGAGGAAAATGAGAAAAAAGTGAATAGGAAAGCCAAAGAAATAGAATAGTTGCAGAATATGTCCATTAAACAGAATGTCAACAATTAAAAGATCCCCTAGAGTAAAAGGATTGCAAATGATCCCGATATGTTAAATGCTCAGACATGGTGATGCACACCTGCAATCCCAGCACTCTTGGGAAGCTGAATCAGGAGGACTGCAAGTTTGACCCCAGCTTCGGTAACTTAATGAAAATCTGTCTCACTCCCAAATTTTAAAAAAGGGCTGGGGATGTA